GCTCTCCATCGTAGTTCTTCAGGCAAATGATGCCTAGAGGTCATTATTACGAATTGGCTATCTCAGATTTTCAATGTCGCAATCACAGTAAAATTTGTGTGCTTTCTCTCAAACTTGGACTTTTATGCTCCAGGCAGATGACGTAAGCCGAGTGCAGCGCCACTAATTTGCATATTGCAATTTTACTCAGCTACTCTTAGTGGACAACATATGCAAATTTTGCACGGTTTGGCTTACTTTTGAAAGAGCTATCGCTATTTTTGTGATTTTTCCTTAATTTATGATAACCAGTGTATATATATATATATATATTCTCATTTTATTTCTATTTTTCCCTTATATTATTATGTAAAACAATATTTTAGGTAACTCTGCAGCAGCAAGTTCAGCAGCAGCGTCATCAAATGGAAACGGTGAGAATAAGCTTAATTTATTCAATATTCTTAAATTATTCAATTCAATATATATATATATATATTCTCATCCCATTTTTATTTCCATTTTTTCTTCATATGATTAATGTAAAACAATATTTTAGACGACTCTGCAGCAGCAAGTTCAGCAGCAGCGTCATCAAATGGAAACGGTGAGAATAAGCTTAAATTATTCAATATTCTTAAATTATTAAATTCAATATATATATATATTCTCATCTCATTTTTATTTCCATTTTTCCTTCGTATGATTAATGTAAAACAATATTTTAGATAACTCTGCAGCAGCAAGTTCAGCAGCAGCGTCATCAGATAGAAACGGTGAGAATAAGCTTAATTTATTCGAACAGATATTTAAAAAAAAAATAGAGTTAAATGTATATTATTAAACGGACATCTATCTCCGTTAAAAATCACTCATATCCAGTATTTATCTGAAGAATGTAAAACACCCACTTGCTGTATTCTTTCTAAATAAATTTTAGTTTAAGGAATACATTCCTTCAGACATTCATAGGTAGCCAACCTCTTAAAGAACAGCACTACTTTTAGAAGAAAAGAAAAATTATGTTGAAAATTATTAAAACTAACAGAATATGGTAAAATTTACCTTGTTTTTAGCTCTACGGTAACATCAAAAAACTCAGCAGTTTTTAGTGAAATGCTTTAGTTATGGCTTTGAAAAAATTAGCTATAAAATATGGTTTTTACATTGTGTGATAAAAATTGGTAAATTTGATAAAATTTGGTAATTTTATCATGATTTTATGATAATAAAATATGGCCTGAACTATTCGATAAAATTTACTTTTCAGTTTTGTATTTCTTAATGAATGTCTGGTAATAAGTACTATAATCTAAAAAAAATTCAAATTCTTTTTAAAATTAAAATTAGCTATAAAATATCGTTTTTACATTGTGTGATAAAAATTGGTAAATATGATAAAATTTGGTAATTTTACCATTACCATTTGAATGGAGAAATAACGAAATTACTGGTTTAAGTACCGATATTTTAATTTTATTAACCAGAAATATGATGGGTTTTTTTTTGCCAGAAATGTAATTATCATACAGTACGGTAATTTTACCAACATTTTCTTGTAATATTTAACGATACTACCCCCTTTACTACGTAATACTTAAATGGTTGCTAGAGAGAATCTTTAGGCGGTACTAACGCCGTTTAAAATATTCTGTAAATAAAGATTTTAGTAAACCAAATTAATTAATTTCAATGAAAACTGTCTTTCCAAGGCAGAATTAGACAAGTATCTTAAATATCACGTATCAGACTGTTCTAATACATCTTTGTATGACGCAATGAAACTGTTGATTGAACAACAGTTGAAGCTGCCTGTTACTATAAGACAATAATTCTAGTTATGCCTTGTTAAAACTAATACATGAAATGAAAAATATAGATTAAGTTGTTTTAAAATATTAAATACAATTTATCACAGCCAAAAATTATTTTAATATTCAAACATGTACTTTTTATATACTAAATGGATTTGATTTCGCTGGATGAAGATCCAACATTGTATTAATTATTAAAAAAGTTCTGAATAATTATTTAAATTTTAGTTTAAATGGCGGAAATTTCACTGTTACTATAAATACTATTTAAATTAGCCAATTAGCCTTTTAAAGGCAGTTACGGATACATGATGTGTTTAGCTTATTATTTAGACAAAATGATTGACATATATCTTTTTCAACAGGATATCTCAATTATACAGTTATCTGTTTACGTTATATCATCGTTATATCATAAAATTATCAACTAAATTTAATACCGAAATATGTTTTCTCGTATTCTTTCGTTACCAAGGCAACTGCAACATATTTTTTAAGATGAAAATGTGACGGATCATCGAATTAAAATAATTTGATTTTACAGGGTAAGTAGTGTCCTCTAAAATCTAAATAAATGTTTCCCATACCTAAGATTTGGTTAAGGTCAATCTTTTATACAAAGGTTTCGATAGAGTTCAGCCTTTTTTTTAAACGTTGTCTTTCACACCTAAATGTTGGAGAAAAAAATAAAAAAATTAGTAAATTGGGTTCAAGACTATTATTTTATTAATTGTTGCAGGGAGAAAAAATTCTGAAGCAGCCAGTAGCAGTGCAGCAGCATCTGGAAACGATGGTGGAGGAAATAGGTGGGATTGGATTTTTCGAGGATTAGGTATGGATTTTGCTACTTTTTCGATTTTACCCATTAAAGCCTTAAGTCCCAAGTTTTCATTAATATTTTATGTAATAAAGCTAAATAATGGTGTGAAAACAACTAAAAGAAATTTATAAAAATCGAAGTTAAAAATTTTTTTTTTTATTTTGTTTAGTAATATAAAAAAATGGAATGTCTGGAATGTACAAATGGAATGTACAAAATGTAAAAAAAATAGTTTTATAAAAAGAAAATATCAAAATCTAAAAAGTATTTGAAGTTCTAGAAAGAACTGCTTTATTTATGGTATTTATAAAATCAAGTTTTCAAAGTTTACAACAAAAAAAATTATCTGTCAAAAATGTTTGTATAAGCAAATTAATTAATTGCATACAAGTAATTAATAATTAAATTTAAAAAAAGACTACATTACCAGCCTAGTATTTGATACGTGCTAACATTCTAAGAAATAATTTATTATAAATTTATGTTGAGAAAATTACTCCTACAGCTTATAAGTTATCTAAAAAATGTCCCTAAAAACAAGATATGAATATTAATGCACTTATAATCTAAAATAACTGAATTGTATCATTTATTTACTGTTTGTTTAAGTTTAATAAATTAGAATACATTAACATACTATACGTTAACATTAACTATAGAATACATTAACATTTTTTAATTAACTTTCTAAGATTTTTACTCCATCCTACGACCTGGAGCTATGTTCTCAGTGCCTGAAGGCAAAACGCTTTCATCTCTAAGCAATGGACTTAACAAACGCTATTAAGTAACCTATAGCAGCTGTTACAATCTGAAAATGTCATTTCGTTAAGAAAGTGATGTTTTTAAAGTCTGGAATGCGACACAAATACATAGTCTTCGCTAACATTTTCATGCATTGTTTATATACTTAGTACAGCTTTTAATTTTACGAGCCTTGCAAAAATATTACAGTAAATGAATTTCTGGGCAATTTGATCTGAAACAGTTCATAAACATTTTTAACTCTGATTACTTTGTTTCATATCGTTATTTGTAACTCATAAATATGGCATTATATATATATATATATAACAAAACGTATAGGGANGAGAAAACCTGCCCTGTTCAGCACTTATTTTCTGCACATACAGAAATTTTTTTATTGATTTACTTCGAAATTATGAGATTCAAATAAATAAAAAGAATTTCGACTATTCACATTAAGAATTTCTCAGAAACTATTCTACTTATTTCTTCCACAATTCAGAAGTTATCGTGTAAAATTACGTAATTTGAAATTTTGCAAACATTTACATACCTTACCATTAAAAATTGCTCAAAGGTTATTAAATCAAGTATCAGAAATAATAAATAATTATAAATTTGTTTGCTTGAAATTATCTCGAAATTCAAAAAAAAGGGTAGAAAAACCTTATATTTTTCTTATTTGCTTAAATGGTTCGAGAACCATTTAAGAGGGCAAAAAGTAAAACTATCATCAATAAGTTCAAAATTTTAACTGCTATGTACTTCCGATCGCAGCTATCAGTCATATTTTGAGCTCTAAAAATCAGAATACATTAAAATAAGAATAAAAATTTTTATTCGATGAAAATACGTTATGTCTTTGCTATTGTAACTCAAAATATCTTCAGCACAAATAAATTTACATACTGTATATTAATTTTTGAGTTTGAATGTTAATACGTTAAAATCTGATCATCCGACAAAACTTAATTCAGCGGTTTTGTTTATTTATTAAATTATTATTATTATTATTCATCTCTGCACTGTACGTCTAATGTAGGAAAGTTTTACTATCTGGAGCAACTTGATTTTTTGAGAATATTGTAAAAGCGACCAAACTTTCACGATAAATTGAATATTCTTTACGCTGTATGCAAGAATACGATGTATTTAAAACATGATGTTCTACTACTACAACAAATCACAGAAATTTCATTAAGTTAATTACATCTTCCTCAAATCTGTAACCCGTATAACTGTTGAACTGTTATAACTGTTAGCAATTTTATAAACTCCGTTCCACTCTTGTCTTCGTTTCAAAATTTTACAATCTTCGAAAAAATCTATTATATTGCAAATTTTTAAAATTTGCAACATTTTAACGTAGTAGGTTTTCAAAAAAAATTAGATATTAAAATTTTGCTGAAAAAAATGACCTCAGATTGCAAATTGGATATTTTATTTTTTGCTGAGAATATATCTTTACGATTGCAGGTAGAGGTGCCAACAAAGGAGGTGATAACGGTGGAAACAATGGTAATGGTGGAGACGATCGTAATAAAGGTAATAATCAGGGAGGCAAGGATAACGGAGGTAATGATGGTGGAAACAATGATAACGGATATAATGGCGGTGGAAAGAAGGATAACGGAGGTAATGATGGTGGAAACAATGATAACGGAGACAATGGCGATGGGAACAAAGATAATGGAGGTAATAAGGATGGCGGCAATGGAAATGGGGGAAATGACAACGGAAATAATGGTAAAAAGGGAGGAAATGGTGACAATAAAGGAAGTACTGGTGCACCAGATGATAATGGTATGTGAATGTGTTATATTTAATTTTTATAAAACATCGTAGAAATCTGAATTTATTACAGTTTCGTTGTACAAGTCACAAAATTCTACTTTTTGGAGGTCATTTCCAATACATGTTCAGAGAAAAACAATACAGAACAAGGCTTCTTTCTCGCTTAAAAAAGAATTCAGACTCAACAGAATCTAAAGAATTAAATGTTGAAAAAAAATATTAAGACCTGTTCAAAATACAAGTGAAATATTAAATGAATTATTCCCAGAAAGTGTAGCGGACAGAAATAATTGGGGAAAAATATCAGAAAAATAGATGAAGATCATAAAATAAGTCAATATCAATAAAATTTTCAATTTTACAAGGAGAAACTAAGGATATCTAATTTCTTAATCGAAAGATGTCTAAATGTATAGCACTTTTTTGATGCAATGTATATCATGGTTTTAACTTATTCTTTATAACTTAATGAGTTAAAAACTTCATTTTCTTCAAAATATTGACGAGGGTAATAAAAATCGGCGTATTTCGAGCACTCAAAAAGAGGCTTCCACTCCCAAGATTCTCTAGGTGTGGATGAGGAAATAAAAGTGATTTGAAACAGAAAACGTGAAGTCGAAAAAAGAAAATGGAAAATAAAGAGAAAAAAACAGAACTAGAAAAATCGTGGTAGCCGAGAGTGAAAATGTGAAAGAACAAGAGCACAAATCTTCAATAAGCTTCAATAAACAATAATCACAAATCTTCAATAAGCTTCTCCCCACCTTTCTATAGCGAGCGGAAATGCATCCTGCCCTGATTTGCCTCTCTCGGTCACAGTGGTTCTCCCAGTTTTGTTTTTCACTTTTATTTTCCATTTTTCCTTTTCGACTTCACGTTTTCTGATTCAAATCGCTTTTATTTCCTCATCCACATCTAGAGAATCTTGTAAATTCTGATCAACACATTACATTATTGCACATTACAAAACTAATTAACGCATTACATTGCTGCAAATTGAGATTTATCCGATCTCTTAATATTTGTGTTTATTGGAAAATGTAGTTTTGCAACGTTATAAAGAGTTTTCTTAATTCAATCTACACTCTAACATATGCATTGTCGAATCTAACAAAATATTTCTCATAATTTGAAATGGAAAGCTTTCGAAGCGTAAAACAGATTTTTTTTTTTTTTCTTTACACCTGTCTTGATTTAAATATTAAGCAACAAACTCACCTACTTACACTTACACTTCAAATCATACGCTATTTCTCTTTTATCTCAGATTCAGTTAACGGTTTTGATTTTTACTTTTACATAAAGGCAAAATTTAGCACTGTCATCATAAAAATTAGTTATCAATAATTTTTTTCTACATTAAACTTTATTCATGTTTGAAATTATTCTATATCATTATGCCTAACAAATTAATTACTAGAAATTAACTGATAGTCTTTCAGTTTTAATACAATTATATTAAAAAAAAGTATGATAATAACTAATTATACTGTTTGTTTTTTTTTAATCTAAATTTATTAAAAGTTTCCATCGATGAAGATTTTTTTACAATTGCATTAGCTTTACATTCATGTTTGTCAAGATGCAAATATTGATTTGGAGCGAATACTGTAAACTTTGATGTAATATGGAGTTACGGCAAAGCGTCGATGTGATGCAAATCATTGTACTTAAAAGTTTAAAAAGTTAAATCAGTTTAAATTTTAGACAGGACAATGGAGATGCTCCCTTATTTTTTATTAATGAATTATTTTATGTTAATCAAAATATTTGAATAACAAATTTTTAATTGGGATGATTATTTTAATTCTCAGCCAACTGAAATTTTTTATAGAATTGAAAATTAGTATTAAATATGCTTCAAGAGATTTTAGAATCTTATTAATTCAAATTAGAACGGTTGAAGCTTATCCAGTAAGAATATTTCCTAAGTTCTGAGTATCATGACTTGAATATAAGTAATTTTTAAAATTTTAATGCTTTCGGTTATGGTTTTTTTTTTCTTTTCGTTTCACAGAGTCGTTTGAATTATTGATAAAAAAAATTATTATCAAATAAAGAATTAAGACGTCAGCTAAAAACTATGAACTAGATTGTTCGAAAAGTCGGCAGACTGATTACATTTTTAAAAGTTTCGAGACACGGAGCGCTCCCACTGTCTCCAACAATTATTTTTTAATAATTAGCAAAATATTTTAATAATTAATTTTATGATTTGCCCATAACAACCCTTTTTCCTGGGGCTAATGTGGACAAAAACTCCAGTCATGTGGCTTTTAAAAAGAAAATAATGTTATGAAATAAGTATACATCTAAATTAGAAAATGTTCTATCAAAAATGAAGATATACGTTCAAATGTTAATTACATAAATACTAGATATATATAACCGAAGAATTGATACATATATGTAGAAAGCTAAATAAAAAATCCAGCTATATCCAAATGCTGCTATCACTTTGTAATGCTCTAGGCTAATTGAAAAAATATCCAGTACTTACTATTCAGCATAAAATCTTTGAAATATATTATAATAAGCCCTAAATTCCTTTTCATTGAACGCGCGAAAATTTAAGCATTCAACCTGAATTGGCTAAGGCTTATAGCAATGAGCTATGTAATATGCAGACGCTTTAAATACAGATGTGGTGAGAATAGAATAATTAATCAAGAAACGATATCTTTTCTTATTAGCCCAAGAGTACCCGGGCTCATTACAATAAATCTTAAAACTGCTTCCTGTACCATTTCAAAAATACTACAACGAATTGCAAAGTGCAAGATTTTTCCGACTAGCTATTATACTTTAATTTACAAAACCGAAAAAAGATTAATTAACTTTAATTTTTTACATTAAGACGATTTTTATTTAACGAATATATTATTTACAACAATATTCTTTTGAGTTACTTGTATAGTTAATTTTAATCAACAAAAAAACTCAATTGTATAGTCTTTTTATCTTAGATTACTATGATTACTATTTTGGCCATTAATTAACCGAAAAAAGATGAATTAATTTTAATTTTTTTCATTATTTAAGATGATTTTTATTTAACGATTATTTTATTTACAACAATATTCTTTTGAGTTACTCGTATATTTAATTTTAATCAACAATAAAACTCAATTGTATAATCTTTTTATCTTAGATTACCATGATTACTATTTTGGCAATTAATTAACCGAAAAAAGATGAATTAGTTTTAATTTTCTACATCATTTAAGACGATTTTTATTTAACGATTACATTATTTAAAACAATATTCTTTTGAGTTACTCGTCTATTTAATTTTAATCAACAAAAAAACTCAATTGTATAATCTTTTTATCTTAGATTACCATGATTACTATTTTGGCAATTAATTAACCGAAAAAAGATTAATTAATTTTATTTTTTTTACATCCTTTAAGACGATTTTTATTTAACGATTACATTATTTAAAACAATATTCTTTTGAGTTACTCGTATATCTAATTTTAATCAACAAAAAAACTCATTTGTATAATCTTTTTATCTTAGATTACTATGATTACTATTTTGGCAATTATGGTGGATATGATTATGGAAATAATGACAAAGGTAAGTATTAAAGAACAGAGTGTTTTAATAATATGCTAATAGAAGTAATATTTCATTAAAAGGACACGGAAGTAAAAAATTGAAAACAATGAAAATTATGTAACCAAATTTCTATCGTATTTTTAAAATACTGTTTTAATTTCTAAAAAAAAGTCATTTAATTTTTAAACTTTTTATCAGTGTATTATTAATAATAAACAAAAGGAAACTTTTAGGACTATATGCATTTTATCGCATATAAAGTATGTAAGTCGAACGAATTTGCATAATATTTTTCACTAAATGTGGAAAATAAAGAGAAATAGAGTGCGCAATATAGACACAACAAATTTACAGTATCTTGTCTAAGTTAACTGTACCTACAATATGTCCCCAAATTTAACCACATTGTCGTGTAAATTAAACCATCTTAAACTTAATTGTACGATAGTACTGTTCAGCGCTAACGGATGTATGGTTCAATTTAACACCTTATTTTGATACGGTAATAAAAGCTCCAATAAAGGTCCAATTCCAATTCAATTTAGTTCCAATTGCCATTTAGGTGCAATTTGAATTGGAGGAAAATTGCATAATATTGTGGTTTATTATGGTTCAACATCAGTGTAGTTTCAGAAAAAAAAAATTGCGGTGAAAATAAAAACAAATGGCTTCAAAAGTTTAATGATTACAACGTTAAAATTTCCGTTCTAAAATTATGGTAAAATAGGCGGCAGCAGTCTGTCTATCCAATTAACCGCAACGTTTACGGTAAATAACACTTTTTACCTTTACGGTTTTGAGACGGTTTACAGTACGGTTGAAAAAAACATAAATATAAAACTATACTGTTTTTTAACCATTTACAACTAGCATGGTTTAAAAATCGTGAAAATGAAATTTATTTGAACATTGGAGTTAGGTTATGCTAGGCAATAGACGTTGGTTTTAGGTTGTGGTTGAGTTGTCATATGAGCCAAGCCTAGAAATGTGGCATATTTAATGTATCTGGTAGTGCCATCTATCGTGATCATTAGGAAATACTAGACCTTTTTCTGTTAAACAGCTTAATGGTAGTGCCATCTATGTGTGGATGAGAGTATCATATTCTAATAATGCAGTGTAAAGGAATTGGGAAGTGCAGGGCACTAAAAACTCTTCATATGTTGAAGGGAATGGAGGAAATATTGCGTTGTCAACCCCGTTTATCGGCAAGATTGATAGATTATCCCTCTTGGCTATAATATGTACCTAGTTGCCAGGAGCTAAGTCGCGTGATTAGGTAGGCCTAGTTGGTGCAATAAAATTCGGTTGCTTAACCGTATTAGGTGAAAACAGTTAATAAACGGTTTGACTTTTCTCACAGTTAAAAGTTTGAATACCGTCTTATTTATGGTAATTTGACTGCTTTGTTTGAGTATGGTAATATAACAATTTTTCCGAGAAATTTGTAACAGTGTTAGTAATCATAAGATAAACAACATGCTTTAAGCTCATATGTTAATTTTGCTTAAACGGTAATTTTCGTAATTATTCAATCAAAAAAATTTTTAAAAAAATATTGAATTAGATAAAGTTTTTAATTTCTTTAGTATTTTCAAAATACCCATGTCCAATGCAATAAATTATAATAAAAACATTTACTTATATTCAGTAGTGTCCCTTTAAAACTAAAATATATTAATAGAGCTTTGATTCAAGATGTATTAGGTACCCGGTCCAGCTAGATTTTCATTACCTGCTTATTACTAGGAAGCGGCGAAAAAATTTCACATCACGGTACCGGGTATCCGAACCCGGTTTTTAGTCTAGACTGGGTTCCGGGTATCCAAACCCAGCCAATTTTACCCAGTATCCAATGCCAGGTAACACTGATTTAAATTCGACACAACCGTATTTGGAATTATAGCAACCTTAAAACTATTCATTAAAGTAATTTTAGTTTTGGAAATCTAAGTATGACATTAGCTTCTTAATAATGAAGCTGAAATAACTGTTTAGAATTCTTATGTTTGAATGTCAGAAAATGTTTATTAATTTTGGGATTAATCACTAAAGTTTAATCACAGTTGGTTTCAGTAATCCCCCTAATGATATATATAATTCTCCTGGTAACAAAGGATTAGAATAAATGAATTTCATTATTTCAAATATTTATATGTTCCACTATCACTCATATAACAATAAAAGATTCACAAAAATTGAAAAGTAAAATTTAAGGTTATTTCATTTCAGTTACAGATGCTTAATCATTGACGTTTAACGGTAAACATTAATGAGAACGAAATAAGTTAATTTGTAATCACGTTTGCCCTACACATTTCGTAATTTCACTCTGTCTTAATGATATTTTATATAACTCCATGAAAAGGAAATTACATGAAAAAAGGACTGAGGATCATCATAACCATGTGATTATGAGCAAATCACTGATTACCCGGGAACCAAAGACACTGTTTATGATCCACTGCTGCATTCATTCGTGAAGAATTTCGGAACCACAGACAGTGTCAATCTACAAAATGTTCAGATTAAAGATTTTTTTCATGATGCAAAACGATCACATTATCCCTTTTAAATGAAAAATAATGTGTATCATGTATTGTAATGTGTGTAATAGTTTCGAAAATACAAATATTTAAAATCGAGCTCCTTATATGTGCTAATCCTTGTGTTATTTTCTTTTCTGATTACATAAATTAAAGAAAGGATCGATATAATAGGCGTCTAAACGTTACGCGATTTCTTCGCCTTTCACAGTTTCCATGGTTTCGGCAAATCTTGTTTTTTTTTTCCAATGACAGTACGTTTCAGTTAGAAGTTCAGATATACTGGCCTGGTGAAAAAGCAAGATATGTTGAAACTATTGTAACTGAGAGAGGAAAAGTGTGGAGAGGAGTAAAATCGCGAAGCCTTGAGATGCATATTCTATTCACAAAGAGTAAAATGTTAGATACTTTTTTAAAGTGGTTTCCTAAATGAAGATCCGGCAATGTAATATTAACAAGGAAAAAAAGTATTTATCTCTTTAAAAACATTTAAATCCTTATGGAATAGTCTAGAAATAGTTAAAATCTAGTTAAACTTTCCATTTAAAACTAAATGATAATTTTAAAAAATTATTAAGTATAACTATAAAATTGCACGATCAAATAGCTTTAACGTTAATTTCTAATGTTTTAATGTTTTCTATTTTAGCCATAATTTTATGCATGTTTCTAATATTAACCATTTATATTTTCTGTGCCTAAATTAAGTTTCAATACTTGTATTATCTGAACTTTATCTTCACAAAAAGCTTTTATTTTTTAAACTTTTTTTAGACTTTATTTTTTAAAAAAACTTCTTAAATTAAAACTTTGATTTAAAAAATATTGAATATATAAAATCGTTCTTCCGAAAAATTTCATCTTTTTTTAGAAACAAAATTTTAAAAATATTCTGCAAAAAGGGAGGACGAGTTTTTTTTTTTTTCGTATAAACGTTTATTGCTTGTGCAAAATTTGAAAATAATAGTTTAACACAATTCTATTGTACTATCATTTGTGCTAATCCTGATAATAGGAAAATGTAGAGAGAGGGGAATAATCTTTAAAAACACTTTTATAAAGCATGTACCCAATGCTTTAAATTAAATAAAAAATCATGCATACGCTTTTTTCAAAAACCCGCTTTTGATTTAGCTTTCGAAACTTTTCATTTAGAGAATCAGGAAATAATTGTCTTGTAAAGTTTTAAGGTTGACCACTTTCAAAATACTCTTGTTCAAAATACTTTATGAGATTATTATCTTTGTTCATATTTTTCTGTACTTTCAGCTGCTGCAGCTTCATCAGCAGCATCTGATGGAAATGGTAAATATTTTTTCTTAAATACTTCTCTTAGTTCATGTTATAATTTTTATATCATCTAATTATTATAATTAATTTCAAATTAGCATTCAAATGAATTTATTTTGGAATTATGAATTAAATTAATATTATTTACAATTAAAATTCAAAAGAACATAACTTGAAACTAATATTCAAATTAATACAGATAGAAATTACAATAAGAGTGAAGTAATATAGACAGAAGTTAATTAAAGTTAAAACTAAAATTGTTGGAATAACAATCATAATTTCAAATTAAGATTATAAGATACAATTTAAATTTAATATCATAAAAGGATAAGTTATTTTATAATAACTTTAAAGTACCCTAGAGTTTTCCTTGTAATTTGAAATTTATTTTTATATATTATAATTTAAATTCCTCCATTTTGTATTTAACTTTCTATTTAGAACTGAATAATAATTTTAGAAAATTATTACTAATAACGGTAAAATTGCACTATCAAATAGCTTTAAAGTTAATTTCTAATGCTAAACTATTTTGTGTTTTAGCCCTAATTTTTTACATGTTACTATTACCCTAATGTTACTTTAGCCCTAATTTTATGCATGTTACATGTTATTTATTTAGCACTAATATTAATCATTCACGTTTTCTATGAAAAGCATAACTAAATTAAGTTTCAATATTTGTATTATCTGAACTTTATCTTCTCAAAAAGAGTCGCAGATTTTATTTTTTAAACAAGAATTTTAAATTAAAACTTAGATTTCAAAAAGTTTGAATACATAAAATCGTCCTTCCAAAAATTTTTATCTTTAAGAAGAAAAAAAATATATTGCAAAAAAAAGAGACTTAGTCAAAGTTTTATGTCACAATTTTTTTCGGTATAGACATTTACTGCTTGAACAAAATTTGAAATTAAATTTAAAAATTTCAAAAAATATTTTAACTCAATTCTATGGAAATGTGAATAAACAGCGTGATTCTGTCATCATAGATCATGAGACGAATTTAGATGGGTGATTAAGTATACTAAAACATGCATTTTGTTATATGAACGTAGTATCTAAAGTGACGTATTCAAGCAAACACAAGAACTGACAAGAGAGAAATAATGTGTTTTTTTTACGAAATCAACTTAAAGTGCTTCTTCGAACCAATATATTATTCACAATAAATGTCTACAATTGCGATAACCAATAGTAATACATGCCTAGTAACATCATGAAAGGAATTGGAAAACACGTTAAACAATGATAGTCAATTTCAACAAGTTTGCAGCCACAATGGATAGTCGTGCAATGAAGTCCAGAGTCTATTGGAGTCTTGTAAATGATGCCCTACAGATGCTCTTCGTTATTTTATTTTATTTTACAACCGGCGTTAAACTGTCGACTTCAATTCTGAGTGTGCAACTATCAATGTTCAACTCCGTAGCCTTGTAATTTTGAACCCAACCCAGAAGACTAGGAAACTCCTGGATAAAGCATCGGGACAAACTGGCTTTAGTAGAGGACTTTTTGGTGTAAATAACCACATTTCCGTTACATGAAGAGGAAAACTACTAAAATCTCCCACGGTTAACCCGACGGCAAAGGGGATTCTAACCCATGCCTTGCCTATTACTGAGGATATATTACGTCAACCAGAATTCGCATCAACTTGTCTCTGCTGGGATTTTAACCTGGGTCTCTTCATTGGGAGGAGAATGCTCTATCGCCAGAGCCACCACGACTCTTTCAGATGCTCCTTGCAAAATCCTTGCTAGATAAATCTGACGAAAAAGGTGACCATCGGATGTGACCATCACTAAAGTAGCACCCAAGTAACTCTAATAGCCGCCCTCTATCAGTTGTTTTTCCAGCCAATCTCTTATAGTTCGTATGGAATGGAATGGTCACTATTGTGAGTATTTAATGTAAATACTTAATTGATGCAAATAAGCACTTGGCGTTGATTTTGTAAATAAACACATTATTCTCTCGTGTCATTTTTGCTTTAGTATATAAATACGATACATTCCTATACTAAAAAGTACATGTTTTATTATATTTAACCACTCCTCCCCTGATCATAGTATCCCCCTGTATAGTTTTCTGCACCATCAAATTTATGATAAAGACTATAAACAACCGATGAGGGATTTAACCGATGGATTAACCGATTAACCGATTAACCGAGGGATTAACCGATGAGGGATAATTACGTTTAGTTAATGGGATTTTTATTTCATAGGCGGTTCAGCTGCATCATCATCGGCAGCGGCAAGTAATGGAAATGGTAAAAATGGTAAGTATTTAGGTATAGGTGAAAACCACCAAAATTGCCTGCAGCTATCTGGCTCGCAAATTTCCAGTCCAGCTGCTTTTAACGACCAGCTCTCCTGTTTAGCCTTTCTTAAAATAAAGAAAACATAATTTTTTACTTTTATTTTCGTTCAGGAAACAAATTTTAAAAGTTATAAAAGCTGGAATTATAATTATGGCCAACTACAGCGAAGAAAAAAATCTTCAAAACGAGAGAGAGTCGTTAAAGGCCATTGAATTGTAAATTAGCATCCGGTCCGCAAACTTAAAAAAATAAATATCTATTTTAATTATTTCTTAGGTATTAGTGACAAATTTAACCTCATAAAACGTTTATAAGTTTCAATTTTTAAAAAAAGTTGCTTATAGTGTAGTTTTTACCAATTATAGTTGTTACAGTTGCTCTCAAATTCTTTCAATATGGTTTCCAGTTTTCTAATTATTTGGTATATTAGAATAATACTGCTATGTATTTGTAAATGTGTGTATAAATTTGTGGGTATTCTTTTGTTATGGGGCTAAATATTTCAGACGGACTCTAAATAAGCAGTTTAATTAGAAAATTCGCAAGAAAGTAGCGTTATTCTAACGTAGTATAGAGGGAAAAAACACCTAATGCATTTCTTTTGAGCTTCTTCTATTGTAGCGAGCAACGCCTTCTAGTTGAAAAGAAATTGTAAAATGTAGTTGTAGTTTGTCGTTCGAAGCATTCGAACCTCTCGCGTGTTCAATGTTTCATTTTGGATTTTTGTAATTGTTTCTTAATAATAAATTTTTTATTTGTTTATAAAAACCAGCGACCTTCATTTTGGATAGTACACCTCGGTTTGGTGACATTTTTGCCGAATTGGCGATAATTTTAGTGACTTGGCGACTATTTTGGTGACAAAATTATAATTCCGGAAAATTCGAGTTTCGAAGGGATAAGAATAATATACGGGAATTGTCTAGAATCACGTCAAAAGTTCCAGGGTCCCGTAGTCAGGTCTATATAAATAGGAGTATGCCTCGCAGAGCAGAGTAGAGGGAGTATTAGTCTGCTTATGACTGCATTAGAGCTCTAATTTACGAGTATTTTCTGGAAGATTCTGCTAATAAATTTTTGGTGTAAAGGACTGTTTTATTCATCTCCAACTCTACATGAACCCTGTGTTTGGTAGAATACGTTGAGTTTAAATATCAGTTTTCTGTACCCTGATGCTTGTTAGACATATAAAAAAAATCTTTAAAGACATGTTTTATTAAATGGAATTTTAATTTTATAGGTGATTCAGCTGCAGCATCATCGGCAGCGGCAAGTGATGGAAATGGTAAGCATTTAAGCATAGGTGAAAACCCCAAAAATTGCTTCCGGCTGGTCCAAAATGCAAAATTATTTTAATTATTTATAGATATTCATGACAAATTTTTACTTAGTAAAATATTTATAAATTTTAAATATTAAAAAATAATCTGGATTATAGTCTTAACCAATGTTTAATCTTATAGTTAATCTTTATAGCTCACAATTTCGGCAATATGCTTTCCAGTTTGTATTTATTTAGCATATTAGAATATTATTTTGTGGTTAAATTTTCAAATGATTAAATGTAAGCGGAATAAAATCGCTCGAAATGTAGACAATTCTTTAAAGCTAATACGTATCATTTACTTTCAATTTAGTTCTCATATTAATTGAAAAAGAACTTACGCTTATCCTCTTCGTAATTTAATAGTAATTGGATGTAAATTACTATTAAGAAAATATGTTTTAATCAGTTTTAATGCATTAAAACGTGATTGAATAGAAATATTAAAAGAATTATTGTTTAAATCATCTACTTTCAAAATATGCTTTACATTCAATAATGCTTGACAGGGATTCGGAAATGTTATATACTAGATATATATACACCGAAGAGCCATTACATTGTGACCACCCTCCATCTATAACAGTGGGCTCGCCCAGGTTTTCATGGTTTCTCGCCCAGGAACAATGTTTTACTGGGGCACATTAAGACCCATAATCCTCATAAAACAATCCCTGACGTCTGCAAGTTACTTGAACATAGTTGCAGACCAGGTTCACCCATTCATGGCAACAGTTTTTCCTGCGGGGGATGGTGTTTACCAACAGGATAATGCACCATGTCATAAGGATTGAATCGTCATGGATCGGTTCGAGGAACATTCCAGTGACTTTCAAGTCATTTCTTGGCCCCCAAATTCACCTAGAGCATTTGTGGTCCTACTTGGAAAACCAAATTCGTGCTACCACGCTACCCCCTCAGAATGTGAGGGAATTGCAGGACCAGTTGGTGAGCACTTGGTACCAGATACCTCAGACTACCTATCAGCACCTTGTGGAATCAATGCCAAGGCGGGGGCTAGCAGTTTTGAGGGCTAAAGGTGGTCCTACATGTCATTAGCAGGATGGTCATAATGTAATGACTCTTCGGTGTATATATCTAACTAGATATGTATCTATGTAAACATAACAACTCTTTAACCTGAATAATTGAACATTTTATGCGTGTTATTGAACAGCATTGAACTTCTTTATCATTGTTACTGACATTGAACTTCTTTGTCATTGTTACTGACGTTGATCTTCTCAATGAATTTCTAATCGACTTTTTGTCTAACAGGTGGCTCTGCTGCATCCTCATCAGCAGCGGCAAGTAATAATAATGGTAAATATAAATATCTGTTCTCCTTACATTTAAGAAATTAAAAATACTAAACATTCAATGAAATTTTTAAATCGTCTAACTGGATTTTTTTAATGCTTAACTAAATATAAAGCGAAAGATACTGAATAGTTTTAATTCATTAAAACTAACTGGGTGTTGTTATTATTTTAGCCCCTATTTTACTCTGATTAATTTCGCTAATAATTCGTTATATTTCGAAAACCTTTTTCTCACTTAATTGAAAATTCTCTTAATGGGAAAATATTTATCTTTTTTAATAAAAATTCTGAGACTATTTATAATGAATGGTGGCTATGGACTACCCTGCATGTGCTTATAGAATAAAATACAAGTAGGCCTGGAAAATTTACTCATTTTATAGTGTTTATGTTTTTTCGGGACACTTATAAGCAATTTTATATACTTTTTCGAGTAACTAATCAGTTTGATAGAGGGATCGCGTATAACAACAATCAATAGCACTCATAAATTTAAAAAAAAAAAAGAATTCACAATAATCATTCAAAAAGCAAGAACTTAAATTTATAAAAATTCGTTCATTTTATTTACTGTTTATATTTTACATTTTATTATATATCTTATTACTGTATTATTACTATACACTTCATTACTATATTATGTATTTTTATTTCAACTAAACACCATTCTAAAGTATCACACATCACCCAACCATTGCCAAATACCTTGACCTATTTTTAAAACTCTAAATTTTAACGATTATGGTAGAAGTGGCACGTAATTTTGACGCTGTTCAGAAGACGTGGACAGCGCGTGAATAACACCCCCTAGAATAGAGAAAGCCGCCACAAGGGTTATCATAAATAAAAAATCTGATCCTTTAGTGTCCCGAACATTGTGACATCTTGCTTATATCCCTCCCATTGCGCAGTTTGGTAGCCCGAACGTGGTGACATCGTTCTTAATTTTTCCCCAGTGCTCAGTTTATGTTTGTTACGTCGGACTATTAAATTGGCCCTTGAGTAGGCCTTCTCTGTTACAGGAAGTGCTAGTCTGAACTGGTACAGCTCTCGATCCAAACTTACACATCACAAATTACGCTATGACTTTCAGCCACGACAGTTTTAACTTGAAACTTGCTGCGTGCACACGTCGCTTGTTTTGTCTGTTGCAGAATCAAACTCCCTACTCCCAGCTCTGCAACCAGTGGCGTGAACGACGTCTTTACCGACTGTGCCAAAGTAGCTGCTTATTTGAACAATATTACAGTTCAACGCAATCCAAGTTTTTCACAGTATACCATGCTTATATACGTATGGTTTTTAAAAGCATCATGTTTATTAATTGATTAAAAACTTCTTTCCTTCAAAGATATATATAAATAGAAAAAAAAACAGTTGACATGCTCCAAGCTCCAAAAAACAGGTACCCATTTTCAAGACGTGAATGAGAAGAAGCAAAAGTAATTTGAAATTTTAAATGAAAAGTTGCCAACGAAAAATTTAAAAATGAAGGTAGGAAGCAAAAGTAGAAAAATCACAATAGCCGAGAGGGAAAAAAGGATGAAAAACAGAACAGGAAAAACCACAGCGGCCGTCAGAGGAGTGAATCAGGGTAAATTATGGAGAGAGGGAGATATATAAATATATATAAATGGAGAGATAGATTATAAATCCACCCGCTATGGAACTAATGCCGTTAACAAAAGAATTAGCACTCATATAAATAAAACAAGCTTCCAGGGCATCAAGATAAGCTGAGGTGACTGTGGTTGCATTGTCGAAATTCAATTTATGTCTGCCCTGTTAAGGTTGGGTATAGAAAGAA